TTTACCCATATTCTATACTGTAAGTCTTGAAAATGTGATTTACATTGCAATGGATTGCCATGGCACTGAGAAACATTGCATCAGTGGAAGACTTAGGCAATCAATGGTTAGAGTTTAGGCTTGGTCTTTCCAAATCAGCACACACTGCAATTAAAAGTAACCTTCAGTCTTGTTCTTACATGGTGCCTTTGCAATAATGTCAACTTTATCCAATGCACAGTTACAGCTCAACATCAAGATACAAGGTGACTTAATAGGGAACCATTAAATATAAAAACAGAACTTTTCACCTCTGTGCTTCTAATCTGGAACGCCTGAAAGCTTTGCAGATTAATAAATTGTGAACGCGGAGAGATTGTAAAGACAGAAAACTAATGATTTGTGGAGAGAGCAGTGTCGCTTGATGATTTTATTTCACTCTTTTTACCAGTTTTTGTAGAAGCTCGAAGGTCATTAGCAATGCTGACATAGTTTTTCATGGTGATTCAGGTTTCTCAACATTTGTGAAAAAATGGCAGTTAGAATTTTGAAAGCAGAATTGCCACTACAGCAAACAAATTACTGCTGCAATGCATCTCTTACGGAAATAAAACTCAAATCAAATGAAGCACTTCCAAGCATCAAAAACTTTGCATTTCTCAAACACAGAGCACAACAGCATTTCATATTGTATTTTACTTTTAACATCAGCAGTTATTACAGCCCTAAGAAGTAGGCATCTTTTTTGCATTCTTAATATAATCTGCATTATGCATGCTGAGAAAGAATGAAGTCAACTCAAATTTTTGGATTGGCACATTCAGTTAATTGCTGAGGTTAGGAAGTTGGATGATGCAGATTATGCAAGGATTCAGTAAACTTTGAACAGAACCATTTGGCCTTGAATGCAAATAACTTGACAATTACTTAAGAGAAAGGTTGCTGCAGAAAGGTGAGAACTACTAATGAGATGAGAACATAATTAACTGAACACTTACTATTTAGTGTAATACATATCCTAAAATCAGACTGTTAATTAAAACTGATGTTTAAAGCAATAATTTGAATTTAACTGGCACTAATACTGCTTAGTTCAATCATGCTGAAGAATAGTCAGTAAACCATTTATGTAATAATATTTATATGGTCACTTGGTAGCACAGAACTTGAATGTTGCTGAAAAAAGAGACATGCTGTCAAAGCTTTTCATTTTGCATTCATCAGGACAAACACAAGAATGCTAAATTTCTAAGGGAACAACAATTTATACTGCATGAAACAGGGGGCTGGTTGTTTGGCAAATTGACTCTGGTTGGTCTGGGCATTGTCATGCAGAAAGCACCAGGGAACTATTACCATTATGTTTCTGCTCAATTCAAAAATATTTCAGAGAGGTTGATCTCTAAGTCAATAATACTGCCTAAAAGCTATGGTTAATGCCTGGAATAGATACAATTGTAAATTAGGAACAGATATTTAAATTCTGCTGATAAAATCTGTTGGTGCTAATATTGATGTTTGATGGCCCCAATCTTCCGCAGAGTGATAATCATCATTTGATTGCTGCTCTGCTCTTATTTTTGTCCATCTAAAGTGGCTCCTCATTTCTGGCTGGGTGTTCCTGGCCCTGCTTCTTTAGAAATTTGGATTTTATCCTGAGTTAAACAGTTGCCGGAGTGTCAAGAGATGCAAAAGGTACAAGGCCAAGCCATATTCCCTTCCTGCAGCACTAGCTGCTATATGGTGAATTTAAGTGTCCGATATAAAGGTTTCCGAATGGGTGAATGCAGTAGGCTGGCTGAGGCTAGTGTGTAAATGAGTAGGGTGGTGAGACAAGTGGCTTTGTGGCAAGTGAGTGAGGTGGTACCGGGTAGGACGGTCTGTTGGGATATTCAGGTTGAGCTAGGGGTGCCAGTCAGGCAGTTGGGGATGTTAATCAGATGGTCAGAGGATAGTCAAGTCAGGGATTGTAAAGGGAGCAGAAAAGTAGTTGGGGTGTCAAGTGGGGAGCTGAAGGATCAGTGTGAGCGATTGGGGAAGTCAGTTGTGTAGTTATCCCAGAGTTAGACTAGGATTTTTCTAACTGCCATTTTCTGGACAACTATTCAAGTAAATATATCAGACTAATCAAACGACTCTAACTAACAGAGGGAGACCTTTGGGGAGGGTTACAAAATTACCCCTTGGAAGTTCAAATTTCTTGGACAATTCCCACCAACATCAGTATATCAAACTTCCACTGGACTCCAGAATACATCTTGGGCCCTATGTCCAGACATCAACAATCCAAAGGCCAGAAGACCTGGAAATTGGACTAGAGATATTTGAGATTCCGACTCCTGATACATGACATTGTTTGGAACATAGACAACCTCATTCTCCTTTCCACAACGGATGAAAAAATCCTGTTAAATTAATCCCCAATTATCATGAAATTCATGTAACAGGATGAATTCGTAAGGTTTGGTCTTGCACTTGCTTTAACTTGGTACCTCAGGCTACTATTGAGCCAATGGAAAAATGAGACATTTTGATGGACTAAGTAGTTTGTATTGCTCTACCCAGTTCTGACCAAGGCAATGTCCAATTACGTCATCTAAACTCGCCACTCTGAGTCTTTGATATGTGCTTCACCATCAGAATCAAGATCTAACTGTGAGAATTATTCTGATTCTACTCTCTACAATCAGTCGGTATAGAACAGATTGATTGAATATGTCATTTGTTGAGGTCTCATCCTGCCAAGAGACTTGATAATAGAAGCTCTTGGGATCTGAATGCCATCTTTCAGGGCAACAATCTGCTCAGCATTTTTGTTAATGCAACAGACTTTTGAGAAGCAGTGTTTTACATTTATAACATTTGCTCTTCCAGAGTAACATTGCTCATCAAGAATTTTGCTGTAGCCTTTTGTACTGCAAGAAAACTGAGTATCTTGTGCATTAGTAAGGATCAGAACATGCAATGTCTTTGTACAGTTGATGCGGTCTAGAGTTAGATTAGGTAGATTTCTCTGCATTCACCCATTCTTTCATGCAACTAATGCTGGAAATAAGAGAAAAGAACATTTTTTTTCATTTCAATAGGCCAGCAATTTGTTCCTTCTACAAGAATTGCACATACAAAGTGCCACAAGTAAACCTATTATCATTTATACACCTCTGTTAAGTCAGATTGTCAAATTGTTTTAAAAATAAAAAAAATCAGCTTTACACAGTCACTTATGTTTTAAGGTTCTGTGTGAAACTATATCAGAAATTTTATATTGAGAACAATATACAAGTGTCAAAAATGTAAAGATCTGATTACGAGATAGATAAAAAGGCAGGCCACAGAACAGGTCTGTCCAAATGAATGGATATACATATATCTTAAACTAACAAGGCCATATTAAGGATAAAATATGAATTTGCATGCAAATATAAACCCTCACTCTTTAAAGATAATTTTGAATCAAGCTACAAATCAGTGTAATTATGCTGCAGTGTTTATCGTGCAGTAATTGTGCTTCTAACTAGATCTACATACAAAACGTTTGTTACAATCTAATTGTTGATTGTCAATGTAGTATGGAATGATTTTTTTTCCCCCACAGGATTAGGATTGGATTGGATGACAGAAATTACTGTATTGAGGTGAATCTATAACCCATTTTAAAATAAAAAATGATTTAGTACAATCCAAAGTTGAACATAGAGTTGAACAAAGTTGTATTAAGCACAATTGAATATTTACCCAGTTCAAGCAGAATTTTCAACTTGGTAGGGAGCAATTGTGCATCAGTAGTTTGTAGGATACCCCTTTGATCTCCTTTTCTATTGGAGCCAATTGGAAGGACAACGAGGTAAATTGTCCAAGATTTTTCTAAACTCCTTGGGCAATTTAAACTTTAAAACTTCGGTTATGCACATGATAGAAGGAAACTGTAAACAGCATCTGAAAGAATAATTCATACAGTTTTTTTTAATGTTAATGATATTACCCATGTTGTTAATGTCATGTTCATGATGTTGAAATTAACAGAAAATGGTAACTGTATAATATGAACTTTGGAATTAAGATTAAACAATGTATCGCAAAAGGTATAAGTCATATTGAGGCTAGAAATGTGAAGTGTTAAGACTTCATGAATTATTCTTTAATATGCCATTTAGAGTTTTCCTCTATCATTTAGTTATTAAAGTTATGAACACCCTATATTGTAGTTGGCCAAAAGCTGCTCATTTTGCACGCACATAGAAGCTGAAATTTCTGTTCTTTATGTCAAACAGAAAGTATTCTATTTTGTGCGAAGGAGATCACATAGATCATCCTGTATAATTGTAATTATCACCTTCAATTTCAAATCTATCATTTTTGCATGGTTTGGTGGAGCTCAGGCTATAGAATTTATATTGAGCAGTTTATAATTCTCTTTAACTTATTTGGCCTAAAGGAACTCCAAAACTAATCACAAAAGCTACAAAAAACCACTAGTAGATGCAATAAACAATGAAACATGAGAAATTCCCATTGATTTTCCAAACAATTGACTAAAAGAGTTTCTGCATTATATAAACCATTCAGATTGTACAAAGAATCAATTTGTAAACTTCAAGAGACAAAACAGACAATTTTCAAATGGTACCGATATCATCAAAATATTCAGTAAGTAAACCATCTGCAAGTCCTCAATTTGTTCTGCATTTTCTACTCACTATATTCCACATATTTTATCTGACTTCACTCCTTGGGTGGATTGACAGCCAATCCCTTCTGAAACTCCAGCAGAAGTCTTCATAACTTTTTCCAGTATTTCTTTGTTATTCCATCTTCAAAGAATATGGATCTCGACCCTTTATTTCGGTGAACCTCGATCACTCAACAATATTGTACTTGTAGAACAAATCTTACGATTGAGCACATGAAACTTCCCAAGGTGTTCTGGTTTCTTGGCATCTGGCTACAGCAGATGAATAATCAACACATTAAACATCACAAGCCGTTTCTGGCAAGTTTAAGTATCCCAGAAATGATGTTTGTCAGATCTGTGTGTGAACACCAAGGCCTGTAGGTGTGTATGGTGGTGGGGCAGGATTGGGCTTGATGCTTCGGGTTTTCATGTAGGAAATAAACTGGTCTGGAATCTCAGCTAGAACGTCTTTAGCCAGTCGAGCCATACTAAGCACATGATTTCCTGTGCGGTCAATATAATCTCGGAATGGCACAAACTGCAAGGAAATAATATTTAATGCTACATTATTTAGTAGGGAAGAAAGATTACATGTAATTAACCTTTCAGCAATTTAAGGAAAATTATTCTCAACAGGAATGAACCCAGTAGCAAAACTACCATAATTTTATAAATATAAATGAAGACTAAACAAATGAACACAATATCATATAAATCTTTCATTAATCTCGCTGCTGTTTTGAAATGAATTAATGCTCTCCATAATGTTTCATCTCTTTATGCCTGATTGTATGTGTTATCACATTATCTCTAAGTACCAGAATACAACTTCTCTTCTTGACAGCCCAAACTATATTGTGTCTGACTTAGATTATGTTTTTTCTATTACAGTATCTCGAACACCATGGGGCCATCTTCAGCTTCACCTTTATCTTGCAGGGTGGATCATTCACAACCCACTTTAGAACCCAACTGATTGCATTCTAACACTATGATTTTGTCAGGTTATAACCTAGGTGGGGAAGTTGAAAGTTAGATGAATTATCTGTGCTGTGTGGTATTGGGAATTTGTGCTATGCGTAACTAAATGCAATTTAAATTGATTCTTTCTCATCTAACATTTATCATTAATTATGAGGTTTACAGGTCCCATTTTTGTATGGTTTAGTTTTTACAACAGGTTTTTCTTTTAACGGCTTGTAACCTTTTTGCGTCTTTTAAAACTTTTTTTTAGGAAAAATAAAGCGTTTTATCTAAGCTAATTCAAGAAGGAGACCTTCTCTATCTTGATCAGAATCAGGTCAAATATCACACAACACCAGGTTGTGGTCCAACAGGTTTATTTGAAAATGCAAGCTTTCATTTTCAAATAAACTTGTTGAACTATAACCTGGTGTCATGTGATATTTGACCCTATCCACCCCCGTCCAACACCGGCATCGCCACATCTTGATCAGAATTGGTCACAAGAATAAACTGGTGCCAAAATTGTGGTACGTTAATTATAAATTTTGTCGTTAAAATGGGAATTCTTCAGTATTTTGGGGTGAAAATGACTTGTCACCTGAATTCGGAATTACCTCAAATTGCTAGACAATTCGTGCTATTCTACTTCTTGAGGTTGGCATCTTGCCTTTAGTGGCCATAGATTTTATAAATTAATTAATTTTCCATTGACCTTGCCACTGAAAATTATGCCTCCTATAAGCATCCTCAAAATTACGAAATAATTGTTAATTACTGATAATCAACCTTGCTTTCCCAGAAAGTGATTAATGAAAAAGTGTGAAGTCCAATTTATTTGCTTTTTCACAGATTTTAAGTGTCCAATTTTAAAAGAAAAAGCTTTTATATTTACTTTTTTCTCTCTTTTGCTTCATCCAATATTTTTTCTGCCTCTTCAGTTCTATAACTATACATGATTTGACATTGACGTCACCTTTCTTTCACTATGCCTTTGCCCTGTTTTCATTTCTCAATTTTAAAATTTAATCAGTTTTGGAAGCACACTGTTGGTCTTGTTGATCACTAAGATCTCAGGTGACCTGCTATCACACCCTACAGACCAAATCCCATTGAGCTGAAGAGTGCAAGATGAAGTTTAACCAACCAGGTACAGTCCAGAAAATCATGGCTTACTTTTGTCTACTGCTTTGAAGACAATCTTTCAACTACTTGCACACAGTAGTGGGCAAGTATTTACAACATACAGATTGTACTTTGCCGTCTGTGGTCGGCTTTGTAATCTTAATGATAAGTGACATATCATCTGACTTCACTGTGCAATACTTACTTACACTATATTGCTTCTGTGTCCACACACATACCTGCACAATATCTCTCTCTGCAAGTTTCCCTCGTGAAGATACTCTGATGTCATCACCATCCAATTCCACCATTGCTGCAAACAATAAATAAGACGTTACAGCAAATGTACATTGGAGATACTGTTATATGAAAATTACATGATCCCCTGTGGTCTACATTATGTTGTAGTGCAGGTGCACTAATGTGTTGGCAGAACACTAAATTTCATCTGTTAATAAGCAAGCCTGAAATGCTATAGTGATCAATTTGATTATAATTAGATTTGCAGTAATCTCTTTGTGTTATGGTCAATGAGCATCTCATAGATCAATTTCTGATTCCAGCATAGAATTTTATTTCATTGCACTTGCTGGATAAAACACATGTATGTTTTAGTATCGAGCAAAATTGGCTAGAATATTTAACACCTTTTTTCAATGAAAATGCTATGACTTTAACATGGCCAGATAATGTAGCATGGTAGAGCAGTAGGTACTGTGCCATAGTGGTTAACAACAACTTGGTTTTTTTATTTGGTGACTTACCTAACTTAACCCCAGTGATCAATGGTGAGGAAATGTTAGGGAACAGTGCATGTGGTGGGTACTGCAGGGGGTAATTACAGTGCAAGTCAATCTGTCCTGTTAATCTTTACCTTGTTGACATTGTGACATTTGGCTTAAATCACCAACTGGTGATGTGCATGAACACCGTAATGAAGATAGTTAATTTGTACATATTCACTGCATGATATAAAGAAATTCTTTAAGTTGGCATTTCTTGAAGTGCCAAATATTGTAGCTTTAAGAAAACAAAGTTGAATTCTTACTAAGGTACATTTGAGGTTAATGAGTCTATTAATGGGTAGCAGTTATGGTGTCAGTGCTGAGGGTTAGATGTTTAAGGCCCTCCAATCAAAAAGATATAAGCTAAAGTTAAAAACCAAAAAAACTGCGGATGCTGTAAATCAGG